AACAAATCATGAGGCTTCATTGTCAGGTTAGGAAGCATCCACATGCATAGACCTTTGCATCCTGGATGCTTCCAAATATATTCCTCATATTCCGTTTCTGAGCCACACTGTCTACAGCTTTTCACTATAAAAAGAGAGTTGATAATGGTCTGTTTTTTTTTTTCTAGGTTCAGAGATTGTATTCATTAGTTTTCTTGTTCTGTGTGGGAGTATATGACTTGAAATTACTTAAGAGAGGAGGGACTGTCTGGGCTCATGGTGTGAAGGACAGTCCATCCTGGTGTGAAGGACAGTCCACCCGGGCTCATGGTGTGAAGGACAGTCCATCCGGGCACATGGTGTGAAGGACAGTCCATCCTGGTGTGGAAGAAATGGCATCTGGAGCTTGAGGCAGCCACTCACATGTCTAGGAACCAGGAAGCATGACGTCAAATGGGTTGGTCCATGCCTGTAAGATCCATACTTCCAGCTAGATCACACTTCCAGAAAGGTCCCACAGCCTCCTCAGATACCACCTGCCACTGGGGACCAAGTGTGTAAATATATGATCCCAAGGGGGGACATTTGCATCCAAACCATAACAAGGGAAAATGAGGGTCAGACTGCCCTCAAGGAATCTCATGGAGACAAGCCTTAGGGATACAACACACAAAAGAACAAGGGTACATTGTCCAATGAGTCTCAGTCATACAAAGGATTAATCTGTGTGGCCAATCCTTGCCGTCACCCACTCACAATTCCCAGACCTACACACAGTTATCCTGGCAAGAGATCTTACGGTTTTCTATGGCAACCTCCCAAGACTTACAGTTGATTCAACTGTATCTGGAGTACAAAGGGAAGAGCTGCTCATTCCCAGGGGAAATCAGTGGCAGGTGGGAAGGGGACCAGGGGCTGGAGGCAAAGAAGAGAGTATAACCCGATGCCGTACTGAAGACCAGTTATGACTTAAAGCTTGGGATTCTAGACGTGTTTCTCTAATAACATTACATTTAGCGTGAGAAGGAAGGGAAGTGATGGGTTGGGGAGTGCTATAGAAAATTGCCATGAAACTGGGAACCGAGAACTGGTCGGGAATAATGAAGAAGATGGGCACAGGCTATAAATGAAGAAAGGAGAGTTAACCCAAATTACATGGCTGCAGATTTGGGGTATCGTGAACCTGGGGGCATGATGGTGCCTCTTTCTGACTTTCAAAGTATATAAATCTATGACCATTTAGATTTCTCTAAAGAACAGGAGCCAATATCCTGCCTCCTGGGGAAACATGGGGACCCTCCAGTTAATATTCTAGGAGAGCTTAATATTCTGAAAATGAAAGGCTTCGGATGAACATGAGATGTTATCAAAGCCATACATATTTTAAAGCCCCGGGATTCCAATTGAGTTTGCCCTTTTCAGATGCCCACTGAATAGTTTAAATGCTTCCAACATGACTTTGAAGTTCTATTAAGGACAGCCAGAAGATCAAAAGCACAAATCCAGGGGTGTGGAGACGTCACGGCGAAGGGCAGGCTGTGCCAGCCATACTGACAGGATGACTTTCTGTTCACCAGAGACCTTTCCACAACACCATTGAAGTCTTTAAAATTGAAAATACAGATATCTGCACAAATCATACCATTCTTATGCCGTAAAGATCAGCAGTTAGCTTTTGTATTCTCTTTGGTAACAGCCTAATTTAAAGATATAAATATCAGAGATATACCAAAAATCTGTACCGTACAAACAACTTTGCTACACCCGGAAATGAAACAATAACACCATGTGCTGTATTTGATACATTTATACATAAAATGTACCATTTATAATAATCATAGTTTGCGTGTAGATGCTACATGATGTTAGGAACCTGATATGTGTGTATTGGCCTTTAGTGAGGCCAGCACTGAGCTTTTGCCGGGCGCTTCTTCTTCATCACCCCCACTTTTGTTTAGGGGCATGCCTGGACTACCGTGGAGAGTAAACACTGGCAGAGTCTGGGCATTGCACTTGCTGCCATCTGGTATAAGCCTCCTCTAAGGAACAGGCATTTGTCTGCCTTCAACTTCTCTGTGTTACAAGAAATCTGCAACACACGTTCTTATCCCTACCTCCTGCTGTGCACACATGATGCTTCACCCGGGTCCCATATGTGTGAGTGGCATTCCTGGCTCCTGGAGCTGCACACGTTCACCTCTCCAAGGTGCTGGCGCCAGATTCATCACACCATCTGGTCTCCCACAGGCAGGACCAAGAAGCCCATTTCACAGCCTTAGAGACAATGCACTCCTTTCTCACGGGCGGTACTCGCCTTACAGAGGCTCTTTCCTTCTGACTTAACGGCCATTTCCCTAGTCATGATGTAGAGCATGTTTCATGGCTCCATTCGGCATTGGCTTTCTGTGTGTCATGCTCACCGCTGCAAAAGCTCCCCATTTATTATCCATACTTATCTTTCCTAATATGTGAACCGAGCTGAGCATATCTTTTTTGCAGCCTGTCATTTGCCTGTTAAACATTTATGGCACCACTTGCAATATGAAAGTTTTATGTTTTTGAAAGGATCAAATTCACTTGCATCTATCTTGCTTGAGAGTATGTCTGAGTAGCTTAAACATTCAGAACATACAGTGGAGGAATGGCTTAAAGCATCCAGGACTAGGGGGTAGGGGATGGTTAGTCTTCTCTTTCAACAATTAGTTTCTTTTTCTTATTTCTTCTCTTTTGCTTCTTTTAAATTGATTTTTATTGAGCTCTACATTTTTTCTCTGCTCCCTTCCTTGCCTCTCCCCTCCCCCCTTCAACCCTCCCTCAAGGTCCCCATTCTCCCAATTTACTCAGGAGATTTTGTCTTTTTCTACTTCCCATGTAGATTTTTAACCAACAGGAATTAATGTTTCTGGGCTGTGGAAATCGTGAGTCTGGTTTTATTTTCCCAGTGGACAGTGTTGGTTCTGTTTTTTTGAGCTAGTCCATCTTTCTTCCCTCACCCTCCAGCCTCTGTTTACCCCTTCATCAGCAAGGGCCTTAGCCCTGTGATTTGAAAGCATTTGGGCTCCCATGCATTCATCACATATAAAAATGGGGTTTGCTGGGCTATTCTGATATAGGAATACAGCATGCAGCAAGCAAATCAGCTTCCCCTGTGCACCCCGCTCTCGTGACAGTGTCCCCACTTTCCCCTTCCCCCTCCTCAGTCACCTTTTACTTTCATACAGTCCTCTGCTCTCAGAGAGAGACCACATGTGGTTCCTGTCTCTGTAGATGGCCTATTTAGCTTAACAATCATGAAGAATAGCAGAAGGTTCCTCGAAGAACCCAAGGGAGGTTATCATATCATCTACCTGGGTGCTGGGCACCCAAAGGAAATGGAAGCAGAAACCAAAGGGATGCAAGTTTGCTGTAAAATTTTCACACCGTGGCTGATATCAAGCTCAGATATATGTCGACGGGTTAAGTGTGTGCTGTGTTGCAGGTATGTAATCAAATGCCACTCACCCATTAAGAACAAATTCTTGTTCGAAATGAAAAGTATAAAGTTTACTTTATTAGCAGGTGTTCTTGTTTGGTGACATCTCTGCCATCAGTTCTGAGTCTTCAAAAGCACTCCCTCTCCTACAGGTATGAGGGCATCTGCATGCAACCCGTGGCAACCTGGGACAGAGGTGGAGGGCTATATAGAGACTCAATATCCAAAAAACTAGTCATCTATTTATCTGTGCACTTAAAATTTTTACATAAGCATTTTAATTCACGTATATGCTTGACTTTGTTTTAAATTTAGGAACAAATTCGGAGGAAAACCATTTCTGAAGAAGAGTATTGTGTATCTATTTGGTTTCCTGTCTGGATTCACCTGAACTTTTTTTTTTTTTTTGGATGGGATTAATTTTAATCTCATGATACATTTCAGCTTTTTGGTCTCTCTTTTACTGAACTTGTCTTTATTTTTAAGACCATTTATTTCTGGTATAAATATTAATATTTAGGTGTTAATATCCGTTGTTCAAAACTATTTGAATTGTTTCTAGCAGTCTGAACACAGACTTTTCCTTCCTTTCATCTGTGTAGACAGCCATGTAATACATGTCATAGAACACAGTCTCCTCTCTTTTTCTTGTTGATTTAATATTTTTCTGTTGTTTTACAGTAGAACAATAAAGTACCATCTCAAATGCTGGTGTGAGGCCAGTGACATGACCATATTTCTGGTATTACACTGTGCAGCTCAGCCATGTACAGCCATGTTTCTGGTATAACACCGTGCTGCACAGCCATGCACAGCCATGTTTCTGGTATAGCATCTTGTTTCTCTAAGACTGCAATGTTTGATGTAGGTTTTCAGTGAACACTTTCGTCTAAGGTGACTAAAGAGCTTCCTACTCACTGTATGGGAAGGATTGTTAGTTTAACAATGGATGGTATCAGATTCGATGACTTTTTCTTCCTGTGTCTACAGGGATGAAAGGGTGTGTTTCTCCTTTAATCTTTCAGTGCCAAAAACGACATTGAAATCTTATCCTTCCATGTTCAGACTAATTATTTTTATTTTCCTAAACCCAAGTAACAAATGTGCAGATTTCAGAAACTGAACAGTAGACTCAGCAGCAAGGGTGCCACAGAGTGACAGCTGGTAGGAGCCCAGAGGATGTTCTGATCAGTCCGCTGTCTTACAGAACAAATCACTTTATAGTCATGGTGACTTCCAGCATGTCTCAAGACGAATGGGAACTATGGTAGCCACTGCTTCATTTCCCAGAGAGAGCTTCAGACCCCGCCACAGCTACAACAGAGTTCCCAGTTTTAAAATTGGATGTTGATTCATGTTGATGTGTATCATGCAAATATTATACCTCATTTGCATATCCTACTTCTACTTGGTGAAAGTCCATCTGCCTTTGAGGGAACTCAGCCACTAGAGATGAATTTTCTCAATGGGTTTATAGTTTGGAATTGGTGATCATTTATTTTTAATTCTTTTTCTTTTGGAGTTTGGTATGAGTTCTGTTTTAATAACATAGTTCTTATGCACAAATTGTAAGTACTTCAACAATGTAATTTAATTTATCCTCTCAAAAGCTCCGTGAATTGGTAGAAAGTTTTTAATGACTTATTTTTTTAACGATATTAGAAATTATAGCAATTTCATTGTTAAACTTTTGCATACAAAAGCAATAAAGAAAACAATTAAAATCCTCTTCCTTTATTCCAGAGATAATGAACTGTAATAATTTGATGTATAATTTTATTTTTAATATATGCATGCATTTTAATAACATTTCAAACAGGCTGCCCTGTGCGTTCTACTTTTATGTCTTTGCTATTACACAATTATCATTTACTATATTCATGACTCTCATTTTGAAGTTACGGTTTAAATGGCAGCAGGTTGCTTTGTTTCCCGAGCAGAACAGGTTTGATGTTGTTGTTCTTCTCCACATGAGTGTTTGCCTTACATTTAAGCAATCAATATAGTATGCCTTTTCATGCTTTTTCTTTAGCTGTTTATTAATTATAATTCGGAGTATATTTTGGGACATAATCTCAGAGAGAAAATTGGTCTAAGATGGCACAGTGATGCTTTGCCTCTCTTTCCTCCTCCTTGAATCAACAAAATGTCCCGGCCCACAGAAATCCCATGAAATCCCTTTGCAATGAATAAGCAAACACCTGCAGGGAGGATGGAATGCAAGTAGCATGGCAGAAGGTGGGCAGCATGGCGCTGGAGCAGTAACTGAGAGCTTACATCTTCATTGGTAGACGGGGGCAGAGAGGGGATGAAAAAAAGACTGGCAAGGGAGCGAATCTTTGGAAATCTCAAGTACCACCCTCAGTGAGACACCTCCTCCAACAAGGCCACACCTCCTAATCCTTCCCAAATAGTCCACCAGCTGGGAGCCAAGCCTTCAAACATATGAGTCTGTGGAAACCATTTTCATTCAAACCAACACTGGCCATTTCAGAAATGGTTGGAATTCTGTCCTAACCCAAAGCCAAATTTTATTGAATGATGCTTCACTAAATTTCAAGTCAGCAGTTCAAAAGCACCTGTTAAAGTCAACCATCCTAACACAGTGGAATCCCAAGGTCTACTGATTTGACACTTACATGAATAAACATGGAGTAAAATTATTAAAAGTCTTTGTTTTCCTTCATTACATTGATGTTTGTACGGAAAGAAAATGTCTCATGTGCGATATCAAATCTGGACCGAGGTGTCCCATGCAGCACCTGCTGCTGGTGTGTGCTGTCAAGGCACGCCCGGTGCCAAGGAGTCCTGCCCTGTGCTCAGAACCAGCCTGGTGTGAAGTCACATGATGCAACCATTGTCAGAAAGACCTTGGATTCTATGTGCATTTGGTTTTTACTCAGTTTTGATCACTGAGCTCCACCTTCAGTTATTGGAACCACAGATTACGACGTAGGGGCTTAATGTATGAGAGAGCATTGGGCAGCACTGAAGCACCAGTGAGACTGTTCTGAGCTGAGGGTGGCTGGTGCTGGATGTCAAGGGGCTTTCTCATTCTCAAATGCAGCACACACACACACACACACACACACACACACACGGCATTCACGTGAGGAAGATGGTTGATCTATGCGATTGGTGGATCCTTTAGGTGGGGACATGTGTGTGATTGGCAAGGGGTTTATGAACATAAACCTCCTACCTGACTGCACGTCTCTTTCAAGGCTCAGTTGTTGCATTGCATCCTCTCCTGTAGCATACAGGAGAAGTTAATAAGATTCCACATTGCCCAGGCTGAACTGACTTTGTAACAATTTTACATTAGATTTTGACTGAAAAGCTAGGTCAAGATAACATTTTAAGAAACAGACCGTGTAAAGGGGCAGATAAGTACTTGGCAGAATAAATTATCACACACTTATTTTGTTTCTGGTGTGGAGAAAGTAAGAAATGGGAGCAAAGGTGAGAAAGAAGAGCCCAGGTGTAGACACGAGGTAGGTGGGAAGTAAGATCCAGAGGGACACTACACACCATGTCAGCTGATCTCGGTTTTCTCTGGAAAGGTACTGAGAGACAGTGCCTCTGCTCAAGGAAGTAGCAGCATGTGGAATAATCCTGACACTCATAAAGAGAGCTTTCACCCCATTGTGAAGGAGTCTGTTGTATTGCATAGCACAGGTCCTATCCAACATACGTAGCACTAGTGGGATGAGGAAGTAGATATGATGTAATGTGTATGATGTAATATGATGTAATGTGTATGATGTAATATGATGTAATGTGTATGATGTATATGATGTAATGTGTATGATGTATATGATGTAATGTGTATGATGTAATATGAAGACGGTGATGGCACTACTTTCTAGGGCAAGTATGGGATTACTGTGGAAGGTAACACCAGGGGAGGGTCTCAGGCAGGTCCTCGGGTGACTGCGGCATGGTATGGATGTCACTGGACCTTGAAGAGACAAAATAAGAACAATAGTAGAGGCTGCAGAGGAGTGGAAGTATCTGCCTCTCCTCTTTTGTTCAGATTCTGGAAGGAATGAATGTTGGCATCTGGCTGAGCACACTCTACAGAAAAGGGGTGGGATTGCAGGAAATCTGCCCTTCTCTCTGTGCAGAGAGAAATTTTTAAAAAATTAATAAGCAATGGAAAGGTATAGAGGCAGAATAGGGTGCAAGGGTTTTCCATCCAGTCACATTTGCCCCAATACCCCAGAGCCACAGCTTTCACCCTGAGTTTGAAGAAAACCCAGCCCACTACCAACACCATGCCATCTCGCTACTTCAGCTAACTTCCCTGGGATGCCTTGGAAATAGACAAGCAAGTTGTCCTTGGAGGAGAGCCACTTAAGTCGGAGACGACAGAGCTCTCAAAGGCAAGAAACACTGAGCTACGACAGAAGCACCCGACAGCTGAAATAGAGTGAAACCTCCCTTGCTCGTCCTCCAGGTTTCCAGGTGGGTAGGAGCAAAACTTGAATGACCCTGTGTACGTGGAGACAAATGCCAATGGCGTTGAGCAGAAACTCGTCCCACAAGAGTGCCAGGAGAACCTGACACAGGCACCACTCTCAGATACACAAACACGGCTGCTGCTAGCAAGGTGGTGTCCTTTGGGAGGCCAGTATCTGCCCCAGGATTGAGGAGGCAAGGAATCAGTGCAGAGAGGGAGTAAGCAGGAGCAGAGGGGGTGTGACTTAGAAGGGAAGGCGATACAAGAACCAGGTGTGTTCAATGGAAAAGGCAGTGCAGGAGAAAGGCAGGTTGAGCATCTTCAGGTGCATGTCAGTAGCTCGACAGTAAGTCAGAAGGCCAAAGTGAGGTGACTGAAGGGCTCAGTCCCCTGAGAGCTCAGGGGAGGGGCACAGAAAGAGACTGACATTATGAGAGCTACTGGATGCCTATCATCAAGGGAACTCTGCACCGAAGAGCATAAAACAGAAGGTGCAAAGGACCAAAGACCTGGACACTCAACACCCTGTGGACTGAACAGGACACTGCTTTCTCAGGACGGTGTATCATCCAAACTGCTCAATGTAGCACCCGAAACAAGGGGCTTCAGAGTTCCCCAAACCCAGCAGCAGGGCAGGGGTGGCTCGCAGTACCATTCTGTTTCCAAGGCACCGTGAACATCTGTGCCAAGACCAGACAATTGTCATGTTGACACGCTGTCAAGAGGGAAGCAGGGATGTTTTCTTTAGAGATAGTGAAGCCACCACTGCCAATCCCAAAAGTAACAAAAGACTCAGCCGGGCAAGGCGAGGAGATAGGTTCGCAGGCTCTGAGCCGGGGCATTACCATGCTCTGCTCAGCTATGACCTGCTCATATCTCTTTCTGCCATCCTTGAAAATGACAGCGGACTGACCATGGCCCATAGTCCAGGCCATGCTTAGCCTCCTCTCCCATACTATTAATGCCTATTCTGGATCCCCTCGGGTCTTAGTGTTAGCTGAGGGCTAGCTACAGCCTGCCTACCTGTGAGTGTATGAGTGCATGCATACACACAAATACATACACACACACACACACACACACACACACACACACACTAGGGAGAAAATCCAGGTTGCACAGTGATGATCTTAGCCAGAAGTGTACTAACTTATCCTCCATCTTGGTAGGTAGGTAAATAGATGATAAATTGATAGATCGATAGACATGAGATAGATAGATAGATAGATAGATAGATAGATAGATAGATAGATAGATAGATGTAGATGCTAGGATAGATGATTTTTAGATGATAGACACACAGACAGAAAGGTAGACAGATCCAGATAATAATCAGACTGGTGGGTATATTGACAGGTGATGATGGATAGATAGGCTCCAGATACAGAAATGGATTAGAGCACTTGTCAAGAAAATAATGAACTGGACAAGATTCACAGAGACTGATGAGCCCTTCCTTACTGCCTAAGGACCATGTTAGCTTGGGTCCTCCCAGAAGCTGGCATCAAAACCAGTGTTGGAGATGATGGTTAATTTGGTTGATGAGCCCAGGAAGCACACATAGGGGGTGGGGGAAGGAAAGGAAATCAAGCAGGTAACAACTGTAGACCACGGAGGTGTCGCTTCTGTGGGATCCTAGGGGACAGGGAGATGGCCTCTGGGATGAGAAATCTGGTACATTTTCCTGCTGGCTCACAACTTAGCTCAGCTGGGGTTTGATCTCAGAAACACTAAGTGTCTGGTCTGCTCTGTCAAACTCACGTGAGAGCAGAGAGGAGAGCTCCATGGGAGTTTCAGGAGGAGAACAGCACGGGGGACCTGGGGAACAGGTGTCCAGGAATACGGTAAAGCCCCCAAGCTGTCGTGGCAAGACCCCTCTATGCAGTCTCACCATATTTCCTTGACCTCTTGTCTTCCTCCATCCCCTGAAGGCAGAGAAATAGATTAAAGTCATCTGATTAGAGTATTGAAGTGTTAAGTGGGGTATTAGGTTATCATCATGGGGGCCAGTCACTGCAAATTTAGTGAGGATTTAGTTTAACTAAAGTATTTGGTTGGCATTCTCTAAATGTACGATAAATTTCCACAGTCCTTAAGACCAGCAGCTGAGTGTTCAACCCGCGTAGAACTTGAAGCCCCTTGATCTGGGTCTGAATTTAACCTAAACTTCTAGGCAGTTAAGAACTAGGTGGGGAGGGGGGTCAGAAGGAGTGAGACTAAATTGTTTGGGTACTCAAGTAGTCCTTTTGTTTCATGTTGTCACTAATGGAAATAAGATAAGTGATGTAGAATATATAACTCACGCGATAACTAAGTAAAGCTAGGTAGCTGTAGAAGATGGAAGGAGAATGATACGTTTGAATGACAACTGTTTTGGTAGAAATCCTATTACCAGGGTCAAAGAAGAGTTGTTGGGATAGTTAATACCGTTAACAGCAATTTATCTCATAGATAGGATAATGGTGATGTAGTTATATTTGAACCAATATAAAAAGCTGAGAATATTGAAATAGTCAGTGGCCTGTGAGTAGGGGATGGGGTAATATCTCTGATGATATAAGTAGCCTCTCAGAGGCTCATTTCCAGAGAGAATGAGTACCCTGGCAGCCATCAATAACAGCTCTTGGCTAGGAGCACCTGGTTTTGTTAGTGATGCTAACAGCATTGCAATATACATTAATCCCTAATGGTAGCCCCTGCCCTGCATTAAGGATGTTAGACATAGTGGATTCCATCAGGATCACTTAGGCAGTCGCTTAAAAATTCTTTCCATAGATCATGATTTGTTGATAAAAATTAGGACAATTGCTCATGTCTGGTCACGTGGTTAGTAAGCATGGACTAAATATAAAGATGAGTGTGCCTGATGTACTGGCTAAGACGATGGCAGAGCAGAATCGGGGCCGTTAATGTAGGGACTATACACAGCCAACATTCAGGAATTTGGGCTCAATGTTGTATCAGCCACCTTATTACAGAATGTGGTCTACTAGGAAGTAGGGAGGTTTTGAGCTCTAAGGACTGGGATCAATCCGTGTAAGTCTAGAAACAAGAGGGATTAGGCATCGATTGTTTACTCTGTCAGAGTAACCTTTTCCAGGCTTGCGCTGTATGTAGAGGAGAGTCAGTAGAGTAATGGGGGAGAAACCTGTCTCACACATAAAGGATAACAATTATTTCACAGTAAATGCCCCAGTTGGCTATAGCAGAATTGAGGGCAAATGCTCACATTCAGGAAAGCACAATGGTGAGGCACAGAATTCTAAGTATACAATTATAAACATTTCCGGAGACAGGATAATATAAAATGTTCATAGGAGAAGTGTGGGTTTTAGGGCATTTACTACAATAATAATAATACCGTGTACTTCGCCAGAATGATACAGTAGATGGGCCCGCAGCATCTCTGATGCACGATGGTATTCATTCCATTAGATCAAAGAGGGGTCCAGCTGGCTCCCGCTATTGGGGAAACAAATCCTATTATGGCTGGGTCATCTGTCTAAAATAATAATAGATGCTTTTGGGTGTAAGTCAGCGTCAGTGAGATAAACGGTTTGTTAGTTTACCTGCTAGAGTGATGGCCAGCGACACCAGTGAGGCTGAACCACAGCCCACGAGGCTCTTCTCACGTACTTAGGATCCGAGACTCAGTCCAGTCTTAAGATGGAGTAGACGGATGGGCTGAAAGTAGGTGGAGTAGAATGGCATGGTTTATGTTTACTGGGGGTTGAGGCACGAAAAGTGGAGTTCCTGTAGTACGACGGTAAGGGCTAGGGTGGGGGAGATGGTGAAAAGGAAAGGCGAGGAAGTTAATTGTCATGGACTTTTTAATTATTATCTCATTGGTGATAGGTTGAAGAAGGCCAAAGGGAGCAATGACAGTAGGTAGTTATATTTATATATAGTCCAATATTTTTATTTGACTAAGGTAAGGAGTATTACGGACAGAAAAATTTAAGTGATTCATCAATTAGTTAAACTATGAAGCAGCCTTCAGACATGTTCTTCCCTCCTGTTCAGGCCCCAGGGCCTGGATCGTGCCTCTGAGATGTTCAAGGTCAGCCAGGCATTTCTACACAACAATCCTACTGGAAAATTTAAAGTATTCTTGAGAGGCTCTTTATGGTCTGCAGTTAGTGGAAGCTTTGAACATCTGAACGAAGGTCTCATTTCCATTTTGTGTAGTCAGCTGGAATGAGAAAGAATAAAGTACAATAGGGAGAGAGGGAGAGACGGAGGGAGGGAGGGAGGGAGGGAGGGAGGGAGAGACGGAGGGAGGGAGGGAG